GCAGTGTGTGCCCAGGAGTTGGCACATTCCCCTGCCATGTCCCCGCCAATTATAAAATATGGTTATTTTTTATTCTTTTGCTCTTAAAATTCCTTTGTTTTCCTTAAAAGAAAGTGTTAAATCTCCATTCTTCAATCAAAGTTTATATTTTGCCATTTTTTTTTTTTTTACAATGCATATAATATATAAATTTTTCCTCCTCTTCTTATTTAAATTTATTACTATAATTTATGAAGGGAATGGATGAAATTTTCATGCATGCTTTCAAAATAAAAATATTACTAAAGAATATATTAGTTCTTATATTGGTCAAATATTTATATTTCTTATACTAATAAATGATTTTTTTTATTCCTCGATTTGAACAATCTATATTTGTCATATTTTTTTTTTTTTTTTTTTTTTTTTTTTTTACATTGTAGCTCCTTAAATTGAAATCCTGACTACTCTCGTGCGTGTGGCCCAACCTCTTTAGTCTTGAATTGCCTTCTGGAATTGGAGCTTCTTTGCCAAACAATTTGTTGGCTTCATTCCTCTTCTCTTGCCAATCCATGAGATTCCTAGGAGAGGAATTCTCCAAACAATCGATTTTAATTAGCTCAATATCTCTTTAATTAGCTCAGGTTCAGTAGTAACCAAGTGAGCTGAGGACAATACCATTGAAGAAAATTCTTTCCTATTTCAACAGGTTGATGAACCAGAGAAAATTATTTATGATTTTTGGTTAGGATTAAGAAAATTATGATTTAGGTGTGGACTACAGCTAAGAATTTGTTACCATATATCTTGATTAAATGTGAGGCTGGATTGTAGGAAATAAATGGCGGTGTTGTAATAAATCCATGGGACGGCTTATGGAATCCTTTATGATTTTTTTTTTTTTTGTTGGGATTTGTATGCCAATTCTTACTTAGATTTTATAGACATTGTTCCTAATCTAAAATAACATTTATGTATTATACAATTAGTGAATATTAATGTATTATATTTTCGATTCTTGATGAAATTAAATATGTCCACGCTATAGATATTTATATTTATGTGATGGCAATCAATACTAATGTAAATAATAATCATAAATAGTTGATAGTTGATAATTAAGGATGAATTTTTAATTAACTAAGACTTAAATCGAATCTGCGATAGGTTGAGATATATTGTGAGAATCGTCATATGCAATTGCTTCTTATCATCGTAATGGCATGAGAGAAATATAAACTATTTTATTAATTAATAATTAGTTTAATTTATTCGGCGAAACTTCCGAAACACTTTAGATAATTATATAATTAATAGTTAGAAAGTTATATTCTCAATATTTATATTATTACTACTTGTATTTATTTTGTATAGATTATGGTTGATTACAAAGTTATTTCGAAGTTTTGTATTTGTTTGCTTTATTTTTTTATTTTTAATCTTAAAACAAAGGCTAATGTTCTCGAACCATAGATTTGCATTCAAGCTAGTCATTACAAGCTTGAGTAACATAGATGTCTTTACATTAACTAGACGGTAGGTATGAATATATGCATTTGATGAAAACAACCTAAGATAGAGTGATACTCTAAAAGGTTCACAAGAGATTCATCGACCTCAACTGTACTAGTAATTGCTAACAAAGATTTCTGTTTGTTTGCTGCAACCTATTGTGAATGCCAACTGCTTAGTTGGTATAAGTTTTTCAATTTTCCTCGAGATTTGGTCTCATGGGACTGGCACAGTTTGAACAAGAAACCTGGAAAATATGAGCATAGGAAAAATTTAGGTCATCTGATTAATTTGTATTGATATAAAGCTGTATAGATAAATGATAGGTAAATTTGAAGCTTTTGTCTTTGGCTAGCATGGTCCCAACAGGCAATCCATACATTGTTGCCATTGTCTTCATGACCCTAGCACTTACTGTCCTAAAATAATTTTGTCAAAATTATATCTATCTAATCCTCAGAAAAGAAGGTTATATACCCCAAACAAAGACATACTTGCCACCACCTTTCGCGATGCATGATTTTCACATTTCTCCTTTCCAAATTCTTGTTAGAAACTCTTGCGTTATATTGTAAAGAAACAAAAGCTTTGGTGGATTACACCCAATTATAGAATCTGAATTCTTCATTGTGAACCTCAGTCTTTGTAGTTCATTGTTTACTACTGCTTTAATAGGACATAACATACTCATTTTTCTCTCTATTTTTTATGTCACCCAATTATCAAGGCAATAACGGCTAGTTTTATTGATCAGCACAAGAAAATTACTAAAATTTCTAAATTATAATTTGTGGAACATGAGGGGAAGTTCATTTCGAGGCTGGAGAGTGATAATCTGAATTGGTGAGAGTGGACATAATTTGGAGAAAAGGTGAACTTGTAGTGTTGCGGAATCAACGAGAGTGCTATCTTCACTTCAGTGATTGCAAAGTTCAAGACCACACAGGTTCGAGGTCCATAACGGAATGGCATAAATGCCATGATATTGTCATTGGTTGCTTTCGCCTACCCTTTTGCAAATCTCTCTGGTTTAGAAATTTTGTCTCCATATTTCAGGTTACTATGGACCGCTATGGGTGGAATGTGCATCTGCTGTGAGCAGATTCCCAAAAATTAATAAATTATATAATTCCCAAAAATTAATAATTAAAACAGAGATAAATTTAACAAAAGCATATAGTTTATTGAACTGTCATTTTATTGAACACCATATAACAAATCATCAAAGAAATGCCTACTCATAATGTGTTATGGCAGCGGCTAAAATTTGGTATTTTCTTGTAAGAGGTGAACCAAACCATTATCATTGAAAGTTATTATTTTTCAGGGTGGATAATTTTAGAATTTAAATATACATTTTTACATCTAAAGATCTCTGCACTGATAGTTTCAGTTGTTAGTATTGAGCGTTTCATCTATGGGGATTTGTTGCTTATACTCTTTTAACTTGTGATTGAAAATGTAACTCTTATCTATATATGATCCACGGCCCTAATATTTAGGTCAATAGTTCCGTAATATCTGCCATTAATGGTTAAGATCTCTCCCCGTAAACTCTCTACCTTAATATCTACATGTTTATAAATTTTACAAAACTCTCTATTCTTTTAAAATTATTTTTAATTTACTAACTTTTATAAACTCTCCAATATTCTAGAATCCTTCCTTTTATTTCTAGGATGTCATGTAGCCACCATGGATGCAATTTCAAATCTATTGATGGAACTCACACAAAATTCTATTTACGCGTATTACTTGTGTGACGTAACTTCCGTAAAAATTAGTGAAACGTGAAATTAAATTAGCCCATCTTCTCTCAATAAGTTAAATTTGTTGACAATTAATCAACAAGTTCGGGTGGATTCAAAAAATTATAGACGTGGGAATCAATTGGCTTGGTTTGATTTGTCTTTATTAAAAAATATCAAATAAGGACCATTACTGATAGTTACTACAGAGATATATATGCCACATGTCAGCAACTCAAGCCCAAATAAAAATAAGAAAAATGATTTTTTTGACAACAAATTTTAACCCATTTTAAATCGACTTAAGTGAAAAGACAACGTGACTGTACATTTCACCACAAATTTTAGTGAAACTTAATAATAACTCAGCCGGATGAGAGAGAAGAGAACAGAGGATGAAGAAGTAAAAGAGAATAAAGATAGCAAAGAGGAGGATCTAAAATATGAATATAGGGTTTCTTCATAAGAGGAATAATGTTTTTTTGGCGATTTGCAAGAGAGCATTGACATGGGGATTTGAATCTGGTTCATAATAGGTGATGCATTTTTTTTAAAAAAAGAAAACCAAATCTGGTTCGTAATATATACACATATATATGTGTGAGAGATTGCAATCATGATTGGAGAATGTTGATTTGGAGATGGCTGTGTAGATTATTTTCTATTGTATAGGCTGTTTTATCAAACGCAAGAAATAGGCGGGATTTCTGGCAAAAGATTGTACGCCCAGCTAACTTGACACTTGGACAGTCAAATAGACTGCAAAGGAGTCCATTTTTCTGAGTCGGGCTAAATAGCACCACTCTAAAAATAATCGGTTTACTATACTTCTCATATGAAATGTGAACACAATGTTGCATTTAAATTCTTTGCTCATGTGTCGCCCAACTTTGACTTCTCGTCTAAGTGACCGCCACAAATAGTTACTGTTTAATTTGCCAGTGTCAACGGAATTTTATGAAAGAAAGGCCAAAGAACAAAAGGCAAACCATGAGCAGAAACAACAAAAACTCTTCTACTTTTTGGGTCAACAGGGTAAAAACACTTAAAAGGTTAGTCAAATTGCAAGACTCAAAATAAAAGACTCCAGTCCCAAAAAGAAAATCTCTTTAAGAGAACTGAATCGAATACTTATTACGGGGCTCTTATGGGACAAAGATCCCCCCGTTACCTTTTCTCTAGTATTCTATGATTTTTGATCGGATAGTTTAGAAAATTCCACATCAGATGAATTTTTATCAAATAACGCTACTTTATTTTATTTGCTTTTCTGACTGAAACACTAATTTGTTTTGAGAAACTTAAGATAGTGTATTAATGGGACCTTGAATAAGTGTTATCTTGTAAAACTAACACTTAATGCCAAATTGTCACCGTGAAGGCTTGAGTTCATGGTTTAAGAAAGTCACTTTATACAAAATAATGTGAAATGTTAGATTTATCTTCGTATTGCATCCCACCGTAAGTTGGGGTAATGCCGTTGTACTTGTTTGACCCTACTAACAGACTGAGTTCCCCTTGCTGGTAGGATAAAGATGCTAAATGGGACCAACAAGAAGTGAGGAACTAGCCTTTGATGAAGCACATAATCAGTTATGCAATCAACCCCTGAGAGCCCTTGCTGGTGCAGGGGTTTGGCTGTCATTGTCGATGCTAATATCCTCCAAGGATTAATCTTGTTAAGCCCTGTTAATCATTGCCAACCTAAGCGAATTAAGAAAACATAACACAATTTGTCACTTTCATTTTTTGGTCACCCAATTATCAAGGCAATCATGGGTAGTTTTATTGATAAGCATTTGCACCCACATAAGCAAATTACTAAAATTTCTAAATCACAATTTGTGGAACATGACTTGAAGTCCAGTTCGAGGCTGGAGAATGAGAATCTGAATTGGCGAGTGGACATAATTCGGAGAAAGGGTGAACTTGTAGCGTTGCAGAATCATGGAGAGTGCTATCTTCACTTCAGTGGTTGCAAAGTTCAATCCCACACAGGTTCGAGGTCCATAACCGAATGGCATAAATGCCATGATGTTGTCGTTGGTTGCTTTAACCACCCCTTCTGCAAATCTCTCTGGTTTGAAGAGATGAGCATCTTGTCCCCATATTTCAGGGTTACTGTGAAGTGCCACAGGTGGAATATGCACCTCTATGTCAGCTGGAAGAATTAGTTTCCCCAATCTCACTTCCCTTTCAACTCTTCTACTAATATTTGTACTGGGTCCATAAAGCCTCAAAGTTTCATTTATGATCAAGTTCATCTACACATATATGATGGTTTGATCAGTATAATCTACACATATATAAGTAAATTCTATAGCTGAAATTAAGTTTGATTTGCTTACAGTCTTTAGTCTTGCAATGCCTTCTGGAAATGGATTTTCTTTGCCAAACAATTCGAGGACTTCATTTCTTGCTCTCTCTTGCCATTCCTTGTGAGTTGCAAGAAGAAGAATGCTCCAAGAAAGTAAGCTAGTAGTTGGTTCCTGTCCAGCAATATAGAATGTCTTGCACTCATCAATGATATCATCTACTGTGATCCTCCTGCTCTTGTCGACGTCATGATGAACCTTTACAAGCGATCCAAGAAAATCACTCCCATAGCTTTCTGATTCTCCTGACTTCACCTTCTCTTCGCGTTTCTTTATCAGTGCCACAGCAGAATCGCGAATTGTCTGATCTATCTTCTCTGCTTCAATGTCATCTTGTGACTTGAAAATTTTCCTGCAACATTTGGATTTGATTAACGTGGTAAAATTTGGTGCCATGATCAGAGTCAATGTCAGATCACCTAATGAAGCTTGGAAATGAAACAACTAAAGGCCTCTCATGGTAGTAAGATTAATGAAATGTTAGATGGAAATTAGCATGGTCTACACACTATATTTCTTATAAAATCGAGGGGATGGGAAAAGAGAGAGCTTACCCAATGCCAGGAAACCGGATTTTAAAATTATTTCTACTAAAAATCACACCCAATTTACTCAACATCTCAAATATGATCTTCCCCTCCACGTAACTGCTTCCGAAAGCTGTTCTCGAAATTATTTCTGATGTCAAAACTTTGAACTCATTATAGACCTCAATTTCCTCACTTTCATGATGCCTCCATTTTGCTAGCATCACTTCCACACTCGCGATCATTTCTGGAATCATACCCTGGATAGGAAGGCAACTATTTGATATTAATCCATGGCATGTAAATTGATAATGCTATGTTTCATTTTGCTGAGGAAGTAGTTCATCAATATTTACCTTCAAGCCTTCCGCATGGAAAGCATGGTTGGCGAGTTTTCGTTGCTTCAACCATTTCTCACCATCTGATGTAACAAGCCCATCTCCTACTAGCTTCTTCACGTAGCCTTCCACCTTTACTTTCCGGTATGCTCCATCTTTATTGCTTAGTATCTCTTTAACAAGCTCAAGTTCAGAAATAAGCAATTGAGGTATAGCACCATACCAGTTGAGAAAATTCTTCCCTATTTTAGTAGTTTGTTGAAAAAAAAAAAAAGGAATTAGTTTCTGACACTTGATTTGGATTAAGAAAACTATAATTTAGTTGTTGTAATTACCATATATCTTGATCCATGAATAAGTGTGAGGCTGAATTATGGGGAATATGTAACCGTGGTGTGATAAATCGATGGGATTCCTTGTCGAATCCATTCTCATCTTGAGGATCTCTTTGGTGTTCCCATGGAGGAACTTGTAAGAAGGACCTTTGATTCCCTGCGACGCCAAGAAATGTTGTATACGAATTGGTTTCCACCATACCTTGTGAAGGAACCTCGTGAGAGTAAAAAGTAGGTAGAGGCAGAGACAACTTGAAAGAATGGTTATCATGGCTCCAAGCACAATCACACAGCCTTGTGTTCTTGAACAATAGATCTGCATTCAGGCTAGTTGGTACATTATTGAGTAATATATAGTATAAATGGCTGAGGAATCAATGGGGTCGACATTGGTGGCATAAACTAGATGCCATGTTTGGCTCTATGTGTATAGGAGACAATGAAAACAACACGACAGCGATGGAATAATTGGCATTTCTTACATTTTCAGCTCTTGGTATATATATTACTACTCCATGATTTGGTCAATAGAAGTGTAAAAAAATTACTAGAATTCTGTATTAACAATGAAAGAAATTTTCTAGTTGTTTGCTACAATTAGGATAAATGCAACCTAGTGAAATTCTCACTTAAGGAATACCAACAGCTTACCATTGTCTTCTAATCGACATACAAGAGATTTGGTCTCGTCACAGTTTGATCACCATATTTTCCTCACCAAACCAATCCTGCTTGTATCCCTAATTTTTATCGAAGATTAATAGATGAATTTGGCAATTTTGTGTTTGGTTTGATCCCAATTGACAATTCTTAAATGAAAAAAAAAACTGTAGTATGATGTTTTCTTCATGAGCCAATCACTTTTTGTCCAAAAATAGTGTTGTAGAAGTTACAGATATTCCTCCGGAAACAAGATCATATGCACATAAACAATATGGTAATGATTTTCACATTTCGCCTTGTCTATATCAATATGGTGATATACTGAATGTCATCGGTGTAGTTCATATCATCAGTGGGAAAATGTTGTCGGTAAATTGGATACTTTTTGTGCTTGGCTTTGTCCCAGTTGACATCCATACATGACAAAAAAGAAGTATGGTGCCACTGTTTTTATGATAAAGTTGTATAGAAGATGGATAAATCTGACACTTTTTTGTTTGCCTTGGTCCAAGTTTACATTCATACATGACAAAAATGAAGTATGGTGCCATTGTCTTTATGAACCTGGCACTTGTTGAGTTATTGTCCAAAAAAAAAATTAATTGTTTTTGAAGATACATATATATATATATATATATATATATATATATATATATATATATATAGTCTTCATGACAGAAACAAGATTATTATGTTCATGAATGAGTACAAGCTTGCTAGCATCATTCGTGATGATAATGATTTGAAACTTTCTCCTTGTTTAGATCAATATGGTCATACACTAAATGCTAATTGGTTTAGTTCCATTCCTCTGCATTTTGGCAAAATTGAAAATGTGATTGGAGCCAAGTTGTCACCTGTGTATCCAGATTCAATGGTGAAATACACACACACAACAAATAAATGGAAGGGAGGTGTGACGGTATTGTCCGAGTGGTAAAAGGGTCAGGCCTAAAGTGCCCCCACCCTATTGGTCCTAGGTTCGATTTAAAAAATACACACAAATGGAAGGGATTGAATGTCATCAAGCTCAACTCCGAAGAAAATAAGGAGTTTGGGGGTGAGGGGATTACAGCAAAATCTTCCGTGATGATTTTGAAAGTGATCCTGCTGCCTATTTCCGCAGCCTGCGCCGTGGATAAAACAGATGATTAAACAGTGGAATTAAGATGCATGGTGGCCTAAAAGGTGTACTTTTGGTTTTTTGATCTATAGTGTTCTTGTTTTGTTGATCTTTAAATGGCGCCAATATATTGTGTAAAATAATGGAAGCTAGGATATGTGGTTCTTCAACTTATGAAAAGTGTTCCCCCTGTTGTCTTTGGTTTTCAATGCCTTTTTTCCTTATTAGTCTTCATTTCAGTGTAGTGTATTTCCAAGAACTAAACCTAATATATGGATGAAGATTTATGCAAGACTTTTGTCACTAAAATGTAATTATCTATAATGGTGTTGCATTCTTGATTTAATTGTATTACATTTTTTTATTTTGGATGTAATATGTTGTATGTGTCTTGTATTTATATGCGTTGAATGAATAATTATATTTTTGTTTCAAGTGTATTGTGTGCTGGCCAGTATACTTGATAGAGTAGATATTGAGTGTTGTGCATATATGTCACAGCATTAGTGTATCCACCCAATCAAAGATAACATATTGTAGTAATTAGGAGCCAATTTTTTTTAAAATGATATACTTACGACCTGGCATGCAAGACATCTTTAATGTCTGGGATGGTGCATGATGGAGTCTATTATTATTATTATTGCTCCTAAGAGTATCTCCAAATTTGTCACGTCATTATTTTTAAAGGTTTTTATTCTCCAAAATTTGGCAGTGCTACAATGGTGTTCTTTTGCTTTCCAAAATAATAATATTTTAAAAATTAATTAATTATTTTTTATTTTTACAACCAACTATATTTGCAACGACCACATTTAAAATGACTATATATTTCATCTTACATACACACTCGTAGAGATCAAAAGAAAGGGGAAAAAAAAAAAAAAATCAATTTTTAGGAAAAAAGAAAATTGAAATCAATTGTTTTTGGCCAATAAAGCAGTTTTGTCACTTTTTGTGTCATTTAAACAGCGCCTAACTGCTCTTATTCCAACGAGTGCCCAAAAAAAAAAAAAAAACAGAAGAAGCTATTTTTGTGTTTCGGTAGGGACAAACACCCCCCTTGACCCAAACAGTGCCTAAACGGCCCTTATTCCAATCAAGTGCAGAAAAAAAAAAAAAAACCAAAGCACGAAGCTAATTTTGGGTTTTGGTCCAGGGCAAACAAGCCCTTAAGACCGTTGCCTTGTTTAAAATATTGGACTGTTGAAAAAAAAAAGTTGGGCCCGAGATACAGCCCACGATCACGGGCCTGTTCTTTAAAACCACAATTAGGAACGCGACCCAAATTTTCAGTCCTGCTTTTCGTGCTTGGGTTGAACCTTGGTGGTGTTTTAGAGGCTTTCAGTCTCAACCCGTATAATTGATTTTAACTAAAACAAAAGAGCAGTTATAGGTATGTAGAAAAAATTGTAATGATTGCAACCACTGGATCACAACTCTATTACAGTGACTACAAAAGAAAAAAAGAAAGTAAAAAAAAAATCCATACCACAAGTCTTTTTAGAAACATTATAGAACATCTATAATGCAAAATACTATTCTTTCATACTAAATTTATATTTTAAAAGGAGTTATAGTGTCAAAATATTATATTTTTACAATTATGTTCTAATAGTGCATTTCATCTAAGATGCTATTTTTTGACACAACAACTATTCTATATTTTGAGAACCCATTGGAGTGCCTTATTTTCATTTTAATAACTTTTGACAATCTCAAAATATGAGAGGTCATTTGAGAGAGTTCATTGGAGTGTCTATTTTCATCCACTTGCTATATTTTGAGTTTGAGAAGCCATTTGAGAGGTGCTATATTTCAAAATATATTTGAGAATCTCAAAATATGAAAGGTCGTTTGAGGGTTCATTGGAGTGCCTTTTTTTTATCCACCTGCTATATTTTGAGTTTGAGAGCCTATTTGAGAGGCCATTGGAGATGCTCTTAGATTCTAGTACGTAATACAACTCTCACCGGTACTAATCTAATAAAATTGATTCATTTGGTGGGTTAAACTTTCATTTTATAGGTATTTGAACTCGTAAAGAAGATTAACGAATCAGTGGCCTAGCAGTATAAGCCCATTATTTTTTAAAAAGAGATTAAGGTTCGATTGAGATATGGATGACCGAATAAGAAATAAGAAAAAAAAATGTCGGTCATTGTCGGTCATGCAAGTGGAGAGATTACAAGCATACTATATAATTATCTCATTTCTTTAATTATAAATAATTAACTTGAATATCTTATAGACCATGTACCAGCAGAGAGATTTTGACTCAAGAAAGGTGTTTCCATTAAGTATGATTTAAGATTCTCTGGTACAGATTTTCAACAATGACATTAAGTTTATTATATAATTATATTCCAAGCAACTGAGCTTCACTTCTAAATTTCTTATATAATATAGTTGTGGATTACATCCCTATTTAAAGAAATTATCATTTCAACTGAGCTTCACATATAAAGTCACATATCAAATCCACAAAAAATCATATATGTTATATAAATTCAATGAAATTATCCCTTTCAAACCAACATTAAGTTTTTTATGGACCACCATGTCTTCTTCATACATCAATTGATAGCTTTAAAGAAGCCAAATTTTGATATTATTTTCAGTAAAATTATTGCACTTCTGAGTTGGATTTGGTATTTCTTATCATTCATAAAATATGGCAATCATCTACTCTTTCAGATGAAGCCAAACCTGGCAACTGGATATATGTATGTCTTCTGTTTCACAAGAATATTCCCAACTCCATTACATCACACAAAAAATTATATGAATTAGTACATGATTAAGGTGTATAAAAGATGGGTTGGTTTTGAATTCATACTTGAAAAGAGATGGGTGTTTTGGAAAATATTGCAGTTTTCTTAGTATGCTCTGTCTGTATATTCCTCCTCTTGGCGCTGATTAGGTTCCTTCACAAAGTATGGTGGACTCCTATTCGCGTACAGTACATCATGAGGTCACAGGGAATCAGAGGCCCTTCTTACAAATTCCTCCATGGAAACACCAAAGAGATCTTCAACATGAGAAGAGAATCAATGAGCAGACCACTTTGTGATTTATCACATAACATATACCCCAGAATTCTACCTCATGTGCAATCATGGGTTAACATATATGGTAACATACTATTAACATATATAGTACTAGTTTTCTTTTTCTTTTTTATTTTTCTGTATTTTAGTTTTGTGACACCATTTCACTAAGTTAAACATTGTCTTCTCTTTTACTAGGGAAGAATTTTCTCAATTGGTATGGTCCTCAAGCTCAGTTAGTTGTTACTGAAGCAGAGCTAGTCAAAGAAATTTTGAACAATAGAGAAGATGCTTATCCAAAAATAGAGCTTGAAGGCTATGCAAAGAAGCTATTAGGAGATGGGCTTTCATCCTCAAAAGGCGAAAAGTGGGCAAAGCTAAGGAAATTGGCGAACCATGTTTTTCACGCCGAGAGCCTGAAAGTAAGAGTTTGATTGGTTTGTAACTATGAAAACAATTTTCTGTTCTCGGAAAACTGAAATCAGAAAACTGTACAAAAAAACTCTGCATGGTTCAATTTTTTGAAAACTGTTTTATGAAAACTCAGTTGTAAAAATGCATGTTTTCAGAGAAAAGTCTTTTATAGTTCTCTGAAAACTGTCCTTTATTTTCTGAGTTTCTGAGAACTGTTTTCTGAGTTTTAGCATATTGTTGTTATTTTGATGAAGATGGTGACTATGCTAATCATTGGAAACAATTAAGGAGCACATAAAGTGTGTTTATACGATTAATTATTTACAACATTCTTGATTGATGGTTTATACTGACACTACGACTGGAATGCTACGCTTGCAGAGTATGATTCCAACAATGATCACAAGTTCTGAGATGATGCTAGAAAGATGGAAAAATTACGAAGGAAAAGAAATCGAAGTGTTTGAAGAATTCAGGATATTAACATCAGAGGTCATCTCCAAGACAGCTTTTGGGAGTAGTTACTTGGAAGGAAAGAGTATATTTGAGATGTTGATGAAGTTGACTCTCATAATTTCCAGAAATGCTCACAAAATCAGGTTTCCTGGCATCAGGTAAGTTTAAAATGCTGCTTTTGAGAAATAGTCCTACTATCCTATAAGGAAATCTCTGTAACATTTGTTGTGGTGGTGGTTCATTCCAAAAACTCTTGGTGAATCACACTTTTTCATCCTCATTTTAAGTAATTAATCATCCATGTTTGCAGTCAGCTATTAAAAAGCCGCGATGACATAGAATCAGAGAAACTTGAGCAAGGTATAAGAGATTGCATAACTGAGATTATAAAGAAAAGAGAGACGTTGAAGATTGGAGAAGTAGATAGCCCAGAAACTGATTTTCTTGGGAAATTGTTGGAGGCTAATCATGAATCAGACAAGAGCAAATGGATTTCAGTAGAAGATATGGTTGATGAGTGCAAGACCTTCTATTTTGCTGGACATGAAACAACTACATCCTTGCTTGGATGGACTATTCTTCTTCTAGCTGTCCATACAGATTGGCAAGAGATAGCAAGGAAAGAGGTGCTGGAGTTGTTTGGCCTGAAAACACCCAACACAGATGCCTTCTCAAGACTCAAAATTGTAAGCCAACCACAATCTCCTACATATTTTTATTTTCATTTTATGCATTAGGGTCATGGTTAATTTGATGCATTAATTTGTAAAATCCTCCTCTCCCATTATTACTTGAGGACGGAACGCCCGGGGGTGGGGGGGGGGGGGAATCTTTTAGTAATTTTGGGGGGTCAATAGTAATATTTTAGGGGGGTCAATAGTAATATTTTAGGGGTATATAGCTGAAAAAAAGTATATTAGTAATATAAAAAATTCAGGGGGGCAATTCATGTCAATAATAAAAAAAATTCAGGAGGGCAATTCATGTCAATGTAGGTTTGTCTCTGCTTAAAGGCTACCTGTCGTTTCAAGGAGAATCTATTTTCTTGTTTCGAAACAATCTTACCGTTACGGTAGCACTCACCCTCCATATATATTTTCAATTCCATACTAGATGTATTTCATTCTTACTTCCCCTTTTTTTTTTTTTTTTTTAACTCAGATGAACATGATTGTTGAAGAATCTCTAAGACTGTACCCTCCGGTACCTGCCATTAAAAGGAAAGTTGAGAAGGAAGTTCAACTAGGGAAGCTAGTTCTTCCACCTCAGATGGAACTGTATATTTCACCATTAGCTCTTCACCATGACCCTAAAATATGGGGAGAAGATGTCCACCTTTTTAAACCAGAGAGGTTTGCAGGAGGGGTGGCTAAAGCCACCAACAATACTGCAGTTGCATTTCTGCCATTTGGATTTGGACCGCGAACTTGCGTGGGCTTGAACTTTGCAATCATCGAAGCAAAGATTGCACTTTCGATGATTCTGCAACGATATATGTTCACCCTCTCACCAACTTACGTCCACTCCCCAATTCAGCTTTTTATGGTTCGTCCACAGCATGGAGTTCAAGTCATAATTCATGCAATTTGAGTGTCTATATATGAAAGTTGTTAGTATAAATGTGAATTGGGTGAAAAAATAAACTTTCACTAGTACAATCAAATTGTGATAGAACTCTGTTTAGTTATGGGAAGTAATATGAAAGAGTACATATGAATACTGCAAGAAACCGTGTGAAGAAGTGGAGACTATTGATGATTTATATAAAAAATGAAGTGAGCTACACCAGTATGTTATGGTATCATTCAAATTCTGATTATTGATTGACTTAAGCAGAAGCTAAGGTTGTTCATATGGAACGATAAACAACTTTAATCCATAAAGTTCAGAGATAAAATTTAAAGAAAACCTGAAATTGCATTAAATGAATAAAATTAATTTTTCTCTCTACAATACACATATTTATATTTATAATGAAAAAAAAAAACATAAAGAAACTTAATAGCAAAAGAAAAATAACATTTTAAAATACCAACAGGCGAGAAAGGGAGGTCAGGAATTTGAGCCTCAGTGGAGGCATGTGCGTGTTTGTAATAGGAAAAAAATAACACTAAAAATAAAGTTTAAAATAACGCTTCTCTAAAAATTCTGAAAAAAATAGAGTAAGAAACCTAATTAACAAAAACTACTAAATATAAAAATTGAGATGAATCCGACTTTGTTTAAGTCTCGATAAAAATTCCCGAAATAATCAACAGGCCTCCTATAAGATAAGAAAACGCAATTTCAGAGCCTTAAACGAAAGCTTTCAACTGAAAACCAACATGGTCCACAAGTAAAAGCTAGTGGATGTTTAATAGATAATTTTCACCCAAAAAACACTCCTTTCAAGTCGAAAACGAATTTGTCAAACCAGAATTATGTCATGCATCGTTGATTAATTCAACACCCTTCAACCCAAATTGAGGGAAGAATCCAACTATCCATAAAGAGAGATGACACGAATGTATAATAACCGGCCTTCCATAAGAATGGAAAGTATTTGGACGACAATATTTTTACTCGCTTTGAAAACCTATCTACAAAGTTCAGAGGATAGTCGGATTCTTCCCAAGTGACGGGGGACACCCTCATAGACTTGTGCACGCTCTCCCTAACTAAAGACTGATGAGTCTAAATATTATTCGATTTGCACACTCTCTTTACTAAAAAAATCTACACATTTTGAGTGTCAACAACCTCAAATAATATGATTTGGTCCAAATCTTCCCCTATACAAATTGTGGTGATATAACATTTCTATTCTAAAATTATATATATTGGCAGTAATTGGTCCCTCAAAACATCAATGTGTAGATGTTGGAAGCTCAAACACCCAACCTCCCCTTTTTGGGAGGAGGGTTTGTGCTAGCTGGGGGTTTTGGTCTAGACTAGTTTACTAAATAAGCCCGGCTCGAACAGTATTTGGCTCAGTTTGCTAGAATGGTAGCTATAACCACACGATTCCCACTTCCATTAAACCCATTCTTCTTTATATTGTAAGCCCATTAATCCATTATCCTAATACCAGCCCATACACATTAGGCCTTTAATCGACCTAAGCCCTTGAAATTGCACGATTAAATTCATTATCTATATTAGATTCGTTAATAGATTAGATTTTGACCTGAATCCATTTCAATGATGATGAATATGGATTGAATATTTAATTCGACAATTTGTTAGTGATCTGTGTTCGGTATCTAAAGATATCACAAAACAAAAAAAAGAAAAAGAAAAGGAAAAGCATCTTTGAGCTAAGGTTTTGTATTTTCACTAATCAAGACATTTGTACTTGTTAATCAAGACCTTAACATTCAGTTTATCACCATTACCATCTATTTCTATTATGTCGATAGGATTTATTTTAATCTGTGATTATTTTTTTAGCATTGCGCTATGCGGAATAGTTATGGAATATAACTTAATACGTTTAACTTATCTTTTTGTCCGATTTTTGCTTATTATAATTTTACAAAAATAAAATTAAATAACAAACCCATAAAGCATAAAAATAAAGTCAAAATAAAGTAAAGAGAGTAAGAGATTGACACCGGGCCTTTTACCGTGGAAGCCCAATAAGAAAAAATTCAACTAACTCGGGAAAAAATCTTGGAGACTTTTTAAGCTTCATAGTTTCAAGCAAAACGATCCACTATCGTTGAAGTACAACCCATTATGTCTCAAACTCTCACACACTCCACTCCATCACTTTGCACTACCAAGAATTAGTTGCTCTCTAGCTTCGAGCGAAACGATCCACTGCCGTCAAAGTAAAGTACACACACTCTATCTCAAGCTCACACGCACTCCACATCACTCCGCTCTAATTGTTGAACGTCTTTGACTTCACGATTCCCTCATCCAAATGTTCTAGGTTTTATGCTTACTCTCAAGTTGTTGGAAGAATACAAACACTCTGCATATGCTTTGTTCCCTTCATAGCTAGATCGAATCCTCCTTTCTTCAATTCTGATTTTATGAAAGCAAGCAAAAACCTGTTCTACTAAAGGAAATTTGTATGAATCTTTGATGTTAATTAATCTCATAATTATGCCTTCCCTAACAAATCTAGACCAAATAGGAAAAAAAAATTAATTTATCAAAAACTAAAATTTCTCTTTTTAATCTTGTAAAGTGCACACGTTGGTCTAAGTTTGGACCAGTCGGACTTTGGCAGCTGCATACTTTGAGCTTTGGAAATACTTAATCAATTACTGTCAAAGTGCGACTTAGTCCATAATATGCTCCACCAATAAGAATTTAATAAATTACACTTTAAAATTTAATTTTATTTGAAAAATCTTCTGTGTAACCTGAGACAACTAAAAATAACGATGCAATGTGTATCCTCACTCACTACATGACAATGATGTTCTCATCAAATTAAAGTACGGTGAGAGTTATTACACAAGTAGCTTTGCTTTTTATAACGAGACTCAAAAATAAATTAAAAATTATAACTTTATTAGACAAATTTTAACACTGAAAGTTTGTCAATTACAATAATATATCTCACAATTTTTGCATTTTTTATTTTAAATAATAGGCTAACTTTCAAAGATGAACCTTCACGCATTGTTGGGTTATTCGAGTATTGTAACAGGTGAATACTTGTCCATTTATTCAAAAGTTCAAATTTTTCGGTAGTATTATATACCCACTTATTTATATACACTTTAACTCCATCCAAATCCGATGTGGGATAAGTCCTACTTGTAACATTCTCCCTATCCGAATCTGCGCAACGTCTTCATTGCGGTCGGATCACCTTGTCTATCCGAGGTTCAGACCTGGACACCCTTCGGGCCATGTCTGGATCCCGGGTAGTGCTGCATATCCACCCTTTTATACGTACTTCAACCCACATTCAAATTCGATGTGGGACAAGTTTCACTTGTAACATTCTCCCCCACCCGAACCCACGTAACGTTCTCGCTGCGGTCGGGCCACCCTGCCTACCCGAGATTCAGACCTGGACGCTCTTCGGATCCGGCTCTTGGCGTGACACCGAATTAAGGATTGGGTTTGATTCTGATACGAAGGGTGAACACTTGCCCTTTTATCCAAAAACTCAAGTTGTTGAGTGGTGCTATATGTCCACCTATTTATACACACTTTAACCTCATCCAAATTTAATGTTGGTCAAGTCCCACTTATAACAAATACCTAATAGACTATTTTGTCGGATTTTTTTTTTTTTTTTTTCACTTTCCTTAACGCACCGTACAATATATATATATATATATATATATATATATATATATATAAATGCATTTCAACTAACTTTAAGCTTTGGCCCATCCTGTTTCTTTCACCTTTTTTTTTTTTTAGCTCATTACCCCAAACTTACTTTCCACCTCTCTCTTTTTCTGTCGTCGCGCTTCTTTTTTCTGTTGACACGACGTAAGAAGCCTCCAAGCAGCTACAACGTGACTACGACGAATCTCAGTAAATTGATCATGCCACAATACTTCAAAATAACAAATATAATTATTGTGAATATAATCTTTAATTTCACATTTGAAATTTAGAATTAAATGAGACTTTATTTTTTGTTTTTAATAACTTATAATTTTTTATTAAATTGTATTATAACTGCTTTTTAAAAATATATATAATTGCAAAATTATAGGTCTCAAACTTATAAAAATTGAAATTATAATAGACTCCTGATCGTAGTCATTTTCTATCTGTCTGTATTGCACATAAAGTCACATGATGACGCCACTCTTAGGCAACCTACTATAAGTTCATACTTTGTGGTCCTCACACCCAACGAATTGTTCATCATTATCTTATACAATAATTTCTCCTTTTAAAAAAAATATTACCCTATTGTGCTCAAACTTTTTGCCCCATCTTTATATTTTGAGATTTTCAAAATACCTGTTTTAATCTAAAAATATATAAGGAGCTGATATTGTGCCACTAATAAGTAATATATTTATATTTCATTTTTTTTAAAAAAAATTGAATTTACGAAAGAGTCCATATAAAAATACTTGATTATTATATTTTTAAGGTCACAAATTTTTTTTTTCTTTCTATTTTTAATGTCACAATTGTTCTTCCCTTAACATTTACTATATAAATAGTTACATTGTATTTGATAATTTGTCCATCTTTGATGGGATCATATTGAGTACAGTTATTAGGTATTAGATAAGTATTAAGGGTGCAAACAATTTTGATTCCTACAATCTCTGATGAAATCAAAACTGATCTCAACAGTTCTTAAAAATTAAAACTGGACTGAATTGGTTCTATAATTTCGATTCGATTTGATTCTTCTTTGTTTTTGCATAGGTTTAAAATAATAATAATAAATAAATAAATGTGAGAACCTTTTAGTCTAATGAGTTATTCGTGTGGGGTCTACCCATGTGGAATGTAGATAAAGCAATGCAGTGAGATTAATGAGGGTGTGAGGACCCACACCATGGAAAAACCAAACGTGTGACGTCCTAGGAAGACTTGTGAAGACTTCTGTGAAGAATTAAAGCATGCATGGAGTACGAGAAACGATGTGAAGTCAAATTTTGTTACACGATCTACGGAACACAATTAATATAAATAATAAATAAATATTTATTATATACAATAGTTAGAAAAAAAAAAAAGAATTACACACCACTTTTACGAAGAATTAAAATATGGAGTAAGATAATGGTAATATAAATATAAGTATAAATATTTATTTATATACTACTTATTAAGCATAGCAAACAACAATTATATTACTATAGAAATTTAAATATA